CGCAATAATGCCTGTAGGCAATCGCTCTGTAGGCAATTTGAAATGTGGGCTATCGGGATTGTGTGCAGTAAGTGTGTGCAATCGAACCTGTAGGCAATCGTTTTGTAGGCAACTGGAGCCCTCCCACCGTAAACGTTTGCTTAACCCTCAAGGTACGGACTGGGTTAGTGTAACCCGAGCGAATTTTGAAAGTAGCGCCATTTCAAAGGAAGTAAATGGTGGGGGTCCGTACCGGGGGGGGGAATCTTTGAGGTAGCTACTATGTGAGCGCCAAGGGGCAGCGTCAGTCTACGTTTGGGCTGCTCAAGTTATACGATTTTGAAAATTAAACTCGGGTAGTCTACACCCAGTCCGTACAGACGTTACAAAATCCGTGTTAAAAAAAAATTGTGTTTTTCGAGTATTTGCTGCAGTAAAGTATTTTGGTACGTATAATTTACTATTTTTAATATACTTTTGTGCATTCTAACCTCAAAATGATGCTCTGTAGCATACCAGCATAACGTATCCGTGCATGCATGTTATTTCTCGAAGAGTTGTGCTACTCTTAGCATAACTCTTTGTACAATGCGTCGAATAACGATTTTTATTATTTATTTTTACGATTTATCATGCGAAAACACCGTGTAATTCTCTTTTTTTTTAATTTTATACAATAAAAATTTTATTTAATAATCAATTTTTGTTATTTATTTATATTATACTAATCAACAACATCCAAAAGAACTATTTTTACTTTAAGATATTTTTTTTTGCGTTATTACGATAAATCAAGCAAGTAACGTTATATCGCTATCGCAAAAAAACAGGTATTTTCATAGTTAAAAAAAATATACTTTTTGGAATGGATCAAAAAACGAATTCAGCTATTTCAAAAAACAACTTTTTAGCTTTCAAACGCGACTTATAAAATGTCAATATCTTTTTTTTTATAAAGTTATGCAATTTAAAAAAAAAATAAATTTTTATAAAAATTTTTTGAGAACTGTTTAAATTTTCAAATGTATTTTTGTTTAAACAAATAATGTAATAAATCTATCAACGCCATTGTATTTTTAAGAAAATTTCCGATCCAAAAAAAAAATTGTTTTAATTGACAAATTACAGCCCGATATACAGTCAATCAAAGTCGCCGGGTTAGGCTAACCCATGTCCGTACGGAACGTAACTTTTTTATAGTCCGTACCCTGAGGGTTAAGGTGATCCTAAAGCCGTCTGTAATACCGGTTTTTTTCTTAGCACTAATCTTTTAATTGGCTTTATAGAAATGCAAAATTTTTGTCTAGAATTAAAGTACGCATTAAAATCTAGGTCATGGTGGTCGAATTTATATCGAAAACGAAAAAAAATTAATATTTTTTGTTATACGTGACGACAATATTTGCTTTATACAAAAATTTCACAATAAATATCCACAAAATTAGACCGGCATGACCTAGGGACAACATGTAAGAACAATATCGTGCAATTGGAACTAAGAATAAAAGCTTACAAAAAAAGATTAATTGTAATGAATGCAATATAACCTATAACCATGTCTATCCTTGTCTATCATCATTGTCTATACAAGGACAGATATAGAATTCGGTCGGTAATACAGACGGCTTTAGGATCACCTTAATACAGGAGTTGTACAGTTTGTATATGTACAAAATAAGATACACTCGCCATTCGTATAATGTGAACAAAGAATACCGTACATGAGAAACTAAAATTAATAACGTAATAAAAAAGTTTGAGCCTTTGCTACTAATTTGTGCAAAAGCACATGCAGGTTAATAGGATAAACAGTATTGCGTGTAGCGAGAGATGGCGCAGTGATCGAACAAAGACAGATTACTATAGTTAAACAAGGACAGATATAGAGAAAACAGGATTAGAAATGTTGACATTATCGACATCGAGAAAGTTCGGCCTTCGATCGCTTTAGGTCCTTTAGAATTCCCTTAGGGATCTGTAATACCGACATTTTAAAAATGCGCATAATATCTTTATTGACTTTGAAAGCTTTCCAGCAAGCGACACAAGTCGACACAAGCGTCGTTCTATCTTTCTTTTCTGGCAATGAGTAACAAAGGCAAAACGACACTTGTGTCGACTTGTATCGCTTGCTAAATGGATTTATAAAAATCCTTTTCCAAAGTTAAATTATATGCACTAATGCTTTCCACAAAGGGCGATTTTAGACTGCGGTCCACCTGACACTACAAATGCTTTGGAGCGTTCTTTTTCTCCTTCTTTTTTCATTGAAAGAAAAGAGAAGAGGAATGCTTCGAAGCATTTGTAGCGTCAAGTGGACCGCAGCCTTATAGGTACTGACAATGAGAACAAAAATAATTTCAGAAATACAGATAATAAGACATCAACATTGTGACTGCTTCCTATAAAAATTCTACCAATTTGTTGTTACAAAATGAAACCTTCACAAACGGTGGATTATGGGAGCTTTCCAGCAAGCGACACAAATCGACACAAGTATCGTTTTATCTTTGTTACCAAAAAAAAAAGATAGAACGATGCTTGTGTCGACTTGTATCGCTTGCTGGAAAGCTCCCTACATCAATTAAGAAATACCATACCGTTCTCAGAATTAGACTTAGACCTCTAACAAAAAAGTTATGCGCATTAAAGCTATTATCATGCAATGTAGGTACACAGATGTCTAATACTTATAATCACAGTAGGAGCTTTCCAGCAAGCGACACAAGTCGACACAAGCATCGTTCTATCTTTCTTTTTTGCCAATGAATAACGAAGATGAAACGATACTTGTGTCGACTTGTGTCGCTTCCTGGAAAGCTCCCAGTATAATCAGTATGTTCACTCTCTGTCGGCGCCTTTGATCTATTGGTTTCCGATTTTCCGCCATTATTTTGGTTGGATCATCGGCGTATCAACGGTTGAACGGGCCCCGATTTTCAGGCTTTTATTCAGCTTGGAAAATCTGATCAAAATTATCCAAAATTTTCCTCAATATGCAAGCGTTTCTGCGCGTCACACTGATTTTCCGATATTTCACCTCAAACCTCAAACGTACAAAAATCACTTAGCGTTTGTGGCATTACACCGACTTTGCACTACCACACAATACACATACAAAAATGTTCTGATTGGTCCCCGCCAAAATAATGTTGATGCGCAGTACAGATTACAGATCGGCGCAAACCACAAAAAAGGGTTGAGTGAACATATAGGGGGAGTAGGGAAATAGGACGCAGTGGGTAATAGTGCGCACCTCAAGTTTGAGACTGTGACGATAGTTGACGACACGTGAGTGGCAAAATTTCAAAGCTTACGTCAATTCTAGATAATATAGATACATTTTATCCCAGCTCAAAGCTTCGTTTGAACAGAGGAAGCGAAAAAGAAAACGCGCCCGTTTCCTTACTATTTTGACACGAGTTAAGCTCGTAAGTGGGCAATTTTTATTTGTCACTGTAATTGGTATAACAGAGTGAAATACGATTCCTTGGGAACCTTTTGCCGCGTTGGTCCCATAATTTCATTTGCAGTTCACGAGTAATTGACAAAATTGTCCCGAAATTTCACATCGGGGAATAGTGCGCTTTTATTTATGTCGATTTTATATATAATAGTTTATTTATATTCGAATTTATATATATTTATGTCGAATTAATTGTGTGTTGAAGCCATGAGTCAGTTCTACTCGAAAAAAATTTTTTTTAATGTCCTTCTATTTTTAAAGTTTCGCGTTTAATTTTTAATTATTTATCATCACTCACATTAACTGTACTTAAAACTAATGATTTAAGCAGAAACGTTCGAAATTTATCCGCTGCAGACACAAATTTTGGTAATTTTGAAACTGCGCACTATTACTCGCTACTTTCATTTTTGCCCGATTTTGCATTGTCCTAAATATTGCTGAATAAAATATTTAACAACAAAATTATTATTAAGTATGAGTTCACATGGTTGTAGACAAACGTTTAAAGGTTCCATTTAATTCCATTTAGCTGCATTTAAGGGATAACACCACTCCACAGAGTCCCAAAAATAGAAGAATTTTTTGTGGTTAAGAAAGAAAAAGTAAATAAAAAAATCTATTTAAAGGACTTTATTGTACATGTCTTAAAGTGTATAAAACAATTTTGTAATTTTTAAATAGCGGAGCCTAGTAAACGTAAGCGTTTCCTTGCGGTAGCTGTTCCGGGGCTTGCAGCATAAATGCCGCAAATTTTGACCTGGAACAAAAAACCAAAAATTTTCATAATCTGCATGATAATAGCTAGAGAAATACGTAGGGAATTTTTTAAATATTGTTTTTTATAAAAATAGCAAGCATTTGAAAAAAAGTTAATTGAAACTTTCAAACAACTTTTTCTTCAAATGCTTGTCATTTCTATGAAAAACGATATTTTAAGAATTCCCTACGTATTTCTCTAGCTATTATCATGCAAATTATGAAAAATTTTAGTTTTTTGTTCCAGGTCAAAATTTGCGGCACTTATGCTGCAAGCCCCGGAGCAAATTCCGCAAAGAAACGCTTACTTTTACAAGACTCCATCGCCGCGCCATTTAAAAAATAAAAAATTGTTTCATACACTTTAAAACATGTACAATAAAGTCCTTTAAATAGATTTTTGATTTACTTCCTTTTTTTACCACAAAAAATTCTTCTATTTTTAGGCCTCTGGAGTAATGTTACCCCTTAAATTAATTGTTACTATAAAAACCATTTTGTATTAACAGATTTATTTTAGGTAGGCACTATTACCCCACTTTCCTCTACTGGTTATATTGTGCTTAACTAGATCGCTAACTTTGGACTTTGGCTATGGAAAAACTGTGACGGCCATAGATAAAATGGCGGCGGTGCGTATTAATACCCAGTGGGCATGTGTTGGCTCTAGTCTATCCTTGTCTATATCCTTTATAGCCCCTCTATATAATCAGAGTTTAGATAACTTGCTTCTGGCAAAATTCTACGAGAGAAAAGGATATAAGAGAAAAAAAAAGCGATGTACATTCATAGATATTTGAGTGGCCGATATGCTATCCGAGAAGGAAATATGTGAGCCATTAATAATATGAAGAAAAATAGAGATTTGAAATCCTTAACCATCAGAGATCAGGCAATGAGGTCGTGAGGTCAAAACGAAAATGACGTTTTTGATGGCGGTTTATTTTGATTGTTGAATAAATATTAGAGCTTGGAAAAAGAACCGGATAACCAGGTATCCGGGTACCCGCCCGCTTGTCTGTTACCGTTGTATGGATCTGGGCCGGTTCCGCAGGTACCCGCATAATTCGGATACCGGAATCGTATAAGTACCTAACCTAACCTAACTCGAAGTATCTCTGAGTACCCGCGGAACCTGTTCAGATTTGTATACAACGGGTAAGCGGGCGAGAGGATGAATCCCTGGATACTCGGGTATTCCAAGCTCCAGTTTTGACGTACACTTATGGCTAGGTCGGCTAGGATTTATTGGTTAGCTTTATATATTTTTCTCTCTTACACTTTCGGTTAGACCCCAAACAACGGGGCCAATCAGAGATCGTTATATAACGGTTTTTCTGTGGATCTCTATACATTCATATCGCTTTCTCTTTCTCTCTCTTATATCTCTTTCTCTTTCTGTTTCCCTTGCTTTTGCCAAGAAATGGCGAACCAATCAAAAGTTGCTACTGTATGGACAGACTCGATAATAGAAAAACTCTAATATCTTTGTCTGAACAGATATAAGCCGGCAACATAGAAAACGATCGAAATTATCGCCATTTTTAATTCCGTTTAGACGAGGGTGCTTTTCCGTCGGCCTTTGGTTTAGGATCCCCTTAAAATACAGATGCTGTTTTGTACTTTAATGAAAAAGTAACGGTTTTCCTTTTGTGTAATTCCACAATGGATCGAGGAATGCGACTATGCTTTAAAAACTATTCAACGTATATGTATACCTTGCGGCAGCTAGAAACTTTTGGAAAAGTTTATTAGGAACAGTACGAGGCCGATCTACGGTGTCTTCGTAAAGATCTGTTTCTCTGTTATACAGATGCAAAAAATCAGAAAGTTGCTTTGCGGTAATGGCAGCTCGATCCTTATCACTTAACTGACTGCATGGTAACTACGAAAAAGAAAAAATTAATTCAAATAAATAATCTAATTAATATATAGTTCTTTATTTCTAATAGAAAATTGTTACATATTCCTAGATGTGGCATAAGACTTTGATAATAATAGAATCAATTTATGTACAAACTAATCCCTATAACAGCAATAATATCGTACTTCATACTATTATATAAAACCCGACTGTTTGTCTGTCTGTCCGTCCGTCTGTCCGCGAACTACTCATTTGTTAGTGGACCGAATTTTTACCAAAATTATATGAAACAGGGGTAGAATTTTCGGGATATGCTATAGTTTTACGTTACCGATCTTTTTGGAAACCGGTTCCGAAATTTTTCCAATTTTTTCGGAAATAATTGACCGAATCTTAAAGAATTGTATATGAAGTAGGGCGAAGAATTTTCCGAGGATTGCTATAAAGTATATAATTTTTCGTTACTAATTTTTTTGGAAACCGGTTACGAAATTTTTCCAATTTTTCGGAAATAATTGACCGAATCTTAAAGAATTATATATGAAATAGGGGTAGAAGGAACTAAAGAATATAGAAAATTAATTTCGTCCGCCAGTGATTAAACAGCAAGTATTGATATATTCCTCGATTAACTGGCATAAATGTACAAAATAGCACAACGTTTCGGCTCTTAGTTCGAGCCCTTTTCAAGTGCGGTCTAAAACAAGGTAAAAACAAAGATATAACGCCGTATATACAAATAAATAAATAATATTACGCTTGAAACAGTTATTTTATACAAAGAGCAATACCAGAGAGAAACCTGAGAGCGGCCATCGGGATCATTCCGTTCCAGCGGACGTATACTGACGCGCCGCCTGAGAAAGTGGACGTCAACTACGTCGTTACGCTCGGTAACGGTACACACATGGTTCGTGTCCGTGCTATGGTTCGTGTCCGAACTACTCAGATGGAGGGGATATGCTGGTCGCGCAAACCCCTTTTCTGTCCGTGTACGCTCGGCACTCGGCAAGCTTCGAGCGGGGAGAGAAGGACAGACATACGATCTGCTGTCTCCTTCTCTCTTGAGCTGTGACATTGCCGGCGCGGCGTTGCCGTTAGCACGCGCCGGCTATACCACGATGTCACGCATTTCGGATTTTGCGTCTCGTGTCTCGTGTCTCGCCGAGTGCCGAGTCTCGAGTTGGCAAATTGACGATGCGCTATACGTTACATTTCCGTTTATATTTACAAATTTTGATTTTTATATTTATAAATAAATATATATATGTATATATATTAGAAATTTATAAATATATAAAGATTGTAAATATAATTAAATAAATAAATATTTATAAACTTAAAAATTAAAATTCGCAAATGTAATGTATAAAAATCACGGTTCTATACATATGCTTTTCTATATAAAAAAGTCTTACATTAAAAGCCTTTACTTTAGCATAATAATATTTACATGTAATATTTACATGCATACCAATAATTATATTATTAATTATGAGAAATAATTGTAGTTTATAATGTTCTTTTACTCTTATTAAATTTATTTTACCTATGCATGTTCAATTGGCGAAATTACGGCTAAATTACAAGCAACAACAAAAGAATATTGGATAAAAATAAAAACACTTTATTAAATAAACAATACACATGGGTAACATTTCGACTGTACTTATTATAATTAGTTTTTTTCGGAACGGATTACTATGAATATAAAAGAAGAAGATAAATATTAAAATAATCGAGATTAAGCGACTCAACTGGCCAATTTCTATTTATTCATCTCACAACGTTTTGACCCCGATTGGGTCCTTCTCAAGTGAGATTATACATAATTATACGCAACAATAAATCATGCGTCGCAAGACGTTGCGCCCAAACCATATCATGCGAACGCCACGCTAGAACGAATAAAATGTCAATATAAGTATGTCAGATATAAATTATGAAAAAGTGGGAGACATATCGTAAGTACATCGTGAGAACTTACATGTTAAGTGCGTCAAAAGAATAAAATAACAAGTTTCTGAGAGTCGCAACGTAAATTCCGATAAATATTAAAACATGATAATGTTTAAGTTAACATACTAAAACATTAAACAATTTCCTAATAATATAAACAAAATAAATAATAATCTAATTGAATCACAAATATAAAAACGCCGGAGTAATCAAATGAAACCATGACAAGATAAATTTTATATTTATATTGAGAGGTGATAAAATCTCTTCCGTCAGGAAGAGAATGTAAACAATTATTAACGGGGGTATTCTGATTTAAAATATCTTTAAAATAAATATTTTTCAGAAATTTTTTGTAAGGAAACAAAGAAAGTGAATAACGTTAAACTTTGCATGTTCTCTTCACCTTATTTTAAAATTTTATTTTTATTTAAGTAACAAAAATGCTCTTCTTTTCTGTTATATCCTGGTCACTATAAATGACAGACGGTGTAAATAATTCTAGCTGTTCTAGGTATCTAAAACACAAAAAACTAAAATTTTCTTATTCTGCAGAAGTGTGGCTATTGTCTAAACTAGAATTAAATCAATATTTCTATTCTGTGTGTGTAAAAGCGGCTTTTTTATTAAAAATATTATAACTTTTTTCAAAATTTTATTAGTATTTTATTAAAAAAAAAAAACAAATAAACTATGTTTATTCTAGTTCACACAGACGATAGCCATCACTTATTTTGAATAAGAAAGTTTTTGGTTTTTACATTTCTGATATTTAGAACAGCTAGAATCATTTACTTCATCTCTCATTTACGTCTTTTAGGGATCAAGATATAACATAGATAAGAAGAATATTTTTCTTACTTAAAAAATAAAAATATATTCTTAAAATAAGATTTAAAGAACATGCAAAGTTTAACGTTATTTGCTTTCTTCGTTCACCTAATTAAAAATTTCTGAAAAATACCTATTTTTAAAAACCTTTTCCGGCTCCAGTCGTGCTCAACTTGTATTCATGCTTAAAAAGAAAAATTTATTTTACTAAAGTTAGGGCCAAAGCACATATGACAGTCGTAGTCGTGGACGTAAGTAACGCACAAGCTTTGGCGTATCCTGATCTGTCAGGTCGGGGACTACGACCGTCGTATATCGCTACGCCATGTTATGTGCTTTGACCCTTCATTGTTTATATACAAAATATTACATATAACAACTAAAAAAATAAGAAGTTAACTTCACGCGTGAGAACTCATGCGGCGTTGCCAAGTAATAACTGACCCCTCTCCTCTTCTGTCATTTCTGAACCGAGCGAAAAATTCATCAAATCGCGTACTTTACACAAGTATTTCTCGAAAACGCGTACCGCAAGGGTATTGACACTCAAACATTTTTTAATAGGATTATTATTTTAGAATGAGAATGTGAACAATACCTTAATGAATTAATAATGCAAGGACATACAGACGTTGTTACAACCATTCGAGAAAACTGTTCAACATTTTATGTGTTGCTGCAGAAGAAATTCGTAATGTCGGCGGACAAATTATACGCTAGTGCTGCTAAAAAAGATCATAGTATTTTAAGGCTACATGCTGTGTAGATGATATTGCTTGTTCCTCGTTTGCAGTTTGAAAATGTTTGATTATTAAAAACGTTTGATTATTAAAATCTTGCATTCGAAATAACGCTTATAACAGATAAACAAAAATCTTGTCTGTATTTGACATCACACTTGTGAAAATTAAGCGTGTAAAAAATCTGTAAAAAAAACGTAAACGTGCAAAGAAACTATTGTCAATAACATCACGCATACACACACAGAAGAAAATGTAAATAATTGGTTTTTTTATTATTATTACAATAATTTGAATATTGAAATTATTTTATATTATATGCTTTCTAATACTTATATGTATATAATTAATAACAATATATTAATAACAAACAATAAATTAAGGGCGTATTCTGGTTTGAAAGGTCTTAAAAATAAGTATTTTTTATACATAGGAATTTTTTATAGCGGAACAAAGAAAGCGAATATCGTTAAACTTTGCATGTTCTTATTTAACCTTATTTTAAGAATTTATTTTTATTTTTTAAGTAAGAAAAATGCTATTTTTTTCTATGTTATATCCTGATTATTAGAAGGTGTAAATGACAGACGGAGTAAATGATTCTGGCTGTTCTATAGGTATCAGAAACCCAAAAACAAAAAATTTTCTTATTCAGAATAAGTGTGGTTATTGTCTGAACTAGAATAAACATTATACGTTTATTAGTTTTTTCTTTTAATAAAATACTAACAAAATTTTAAAAAAAGTTATACTTCTTTTAATAATATAAGAGAAATAAGACCCCCTGTTTTATGACCGTTATACAATCAATCAATATTAAATAAGCCGTTTACGGTCCGAGCTTGGACCTTAATAGCCTAATAATATTTTTTGTGTACTACACGTATATTTTTTCCAACCTTAATAAACTGCGCGCCGACATAACTTGTCAGACTTACAACACAGCTCTTGTTGGAGTAGTAAATACTTTACTATTATTTAAATCGATTTAATTAGAGGGGAGTGAAGGGTTTTTACTACTCCAATAAGAGCTGTGTTATAAGTCTGACAAGTGAGAGCCAAAGCACATAACATGGCGTAGCGATATACGACAGTCGTAGTCCTCGACCTGACAAATTAGGATACGCAAAAGCTTGTGCGTTACTTACGTCCACGACTACGATTGTCATATGTGCTTTGGCCCTTAGTCGGCGCGTAGTTTATTAAGGTTGAAAAAAATATGTAAATATAGTATATAAAAAATATTATTAGGTTACTATAAAATCCAAGCTCAGACCGTAAATTGTTTATTTAATATTGATTAATAATATTTTTGATAAAAAGGCTGCCTAGAATGGAAATATTGGTTTAGTTTTAGTTCAGACGATAGCCACATATACTTCTTCTGAATAAGAAAATTTTGGCTTTTTGCGTTTCAGATACTTATAGAACAGCTAGAATTATTTACACCGTCTGTCATTTATACCTTCCAGAATACCTATGATATAATAG